GGGGTGCTGTTAGGAAGGCAATCATGGAACATTTCATATGGACTTTATTGGAGATCATGCCACTACCTACTCAGCTAGCTAGCTCAAAGTTGCTCTGCTACACTGTGCAAACTCTCATTCAGTTATCACTCTCCTCCACTGCTCCACTCAAGCACAAAGAATGGTTGGATGATGTCAATAAACTGCAAGTGTAAAAAGGAGAACCTGATGGAATGAAATGTGAGCAGCTACAAATACTGCCAGAATGGGAAAAAACATGAAGCTCCAGAGACTACTGGAATTTTCCAGTAGCCATTTTATGACTCCCACAGGAAAGAAATAGGGCTCTTTGCAATGACAGTGAGTGAATTTTGAGGTGAAGTCATTCCTTGACACAGAAATCACTGTGACCAGTTCTCCATGAAAAAAGAAATTGCAGTTAACTGTAGTTTATGATAATAAGACAGCTTTTATTTGTAAAGATAAGCTTTTACTGATACAACATATCTAGTGCCCCAAATAAACCAAACCACAACCATAAAGGCACAATTTTTACAGTTTAACTGTGCCTTCAGCAGGGTTAAAGTGGCAGAAAGCTATCTACACTCATCGGGTGAGTTGTTTCGTAACACTGTTAACTAAAGCAATCAGCTTATTCTACTGCTACCAAGGCTACCCCTCACTGCTATCCATCTGCAAACACACAGATCTAGCTGAGTGCAGTCCTACTACTCAACAAGTCTAGCTGAGTTCTGAAGTTACTGTTTAGGTAACACTCAAGGTTAGGCTGGCAAACAAGTCCCTTTGAGTCAAGAATGCAAGACAATCCATCTGTATAGAGATATTTCTCCAACATTACCTAACAGTTCCTCATATATGCCCAGAAAGATCAGCAAGTTCTTCCAAAATGTCTTCAGAAGCAATGATGGTGTTGTTACAAAGCACAGCAGCCTTGAGACCTATCTCCAAGAAATCTCAGTGACAGAGGACTAAGGAGAAAATCTTACATGACTTCTATGTGAGCATGTATGAGGAGCAGGTTTAGATTAATTTAAGTGCCAGTTATCTGAATTAATTCTTCAGTGAGGAAAGAATGGAATCTGAAACACAGTCTTTTGACCTGGTGATAAAGTATCATCTCTAATTTCCCTCTAAAGAAATCTCCACAAGCTTCTTGCACATATATAGATGAGTTAAACAAAATGGATATGATCTGAAGAGCACAGAGATGCAGTCAGCAAAAAAATCCCCTAAATCAGAAAATCAAATGTCGATGGTTTTGTAAATAATCTGTCCTGAAAACAACCTTTTTTTTTGTATCAAGTGAAATGTTGTTTGATCTTCCTTTAAAAGACATATGATTGTATGTTACAAGCGATAAGATGGGATGACCTCTAGTTTCTTTTTCTTGTGATAAAATGTAGTGGCTCGTTTTCATCCAGGCTATTTATTTATGATATATTTATTTATGAGACCCATCTACAAGAAGGGCTGGAAGGAGAATCCGGGGAACTATAGGCCTGTCAGGCAGATCTTGGTATCAGGGAAGATTATGGAGCAGTTCATCTTGAGTACATTCACACAGCACATGCAGGACAACCAAGGAATCAGGCCTAGCCAGCATGGGTTCATGAAAAGCAGGTCCTGCTTGACCAACCTGATCTTCTTCTATGACCAAGTGACCTGCCTAGTGGATGAGGGAAAGGCTGTGGATGTTGTCTACCTGGACTTTAGCAAAGCCTTTGACACTGTCTCTCACAGCATTCTGCTCGAGAAGCTGGTGGCTCATGGCTTAGGCAGGGGTAAACTTTGCCAGATTAAAAGCTGGCTGGATGGTCAAACCCAGAAAGTGGTGATAAATGGAGTTAAATCCAGTTGGCAGCCAGTCACAAGTGGTGTCCCCCAGGGCTCAGTTTTGGGACCAGTCTTGTTTACGACCTTTATTGATGATCTGGATGAGGGGATTGAGTGTACCCTCAGTAAATTTGCAGATGACACCAAGTTGAGCATGAGTGTTGATCTGCTTGAGAGTAGGGAGGCTCTGCAAAGGGTCTGCAAAGGGTCCTGGACAGGCTATGTCAATGGGCCAAGGCCAAAGGTATGAGCCTCAACAAGGCCAAGTGCTGGGTCCTGCACTTTGGTCACAACAACCCCACACAGCGCTACAGGCTTGAGGAGGAATGGCTGGAAAGCTGCCTGGCAGAAAAGGATCTGGGAGTGTTGGTGGACAGCTGGCTGAACATGAGCCAGCAGTGTGCCCAGGTGGCCAAGAAGGCCAACAGCATCCTGGCCTGCATCAAAAACAGCGTGGCCAGCAGGACTATAGAAGCGATCATGCCCCTGTACTCAGCACTGGTGATGCCACAGCTTGAGTACTGTGTTCAGTTTGGGGACCTGCAGTATAAGAAGGACATTGAGGTGCTGGAGCAGGTCCAGAGAAGAGCAATGAAGTTGGTGACAGGTGTGGAGTACATGTCTTATGAGGAGTGGCTGAGGGAGCTGGGATTGTTTAGTTTGGAGAAGTCTAAGTGGAGACCTCATTGCTCCCTAAAACTACCTTAAAGGAGGTTGTAATGAGGTGGGGATTGGTCTCTACTCCCAAGTTACTAACAATAGGACAAGAGGAAATGGCCTCGAGTTGCACCAGGGGAGGTTTAGATTAGATATTAGGATAAATTTCTTTACTGAAAGACTGGTGAGGCATTGGAACAGACTGCTCAGGGAAGTGGTGAAGCAGCCATCCCTGAAGGTGTTCAAAAAACATGTAGACGTGGCACTTTAGGATATAGTCATGGTAGTGTTGGGTTGATGGTTGGACTAGATGATCTTAGAGGTCTTCTCCAACCTTAGTGAATCTATGATCCTATAATTTGGTTGCAAACCTATTAGACCAGTAACTTTGTATTCCAGACAGTTGCATTTCTTCTTTGCTTATTTCATTACTAGATCCACATTTTCCATTCTGACTAGTGGAGAGTTTAAACAATGCATTGAGATGTTTGGATATAGATGTATGGATCATTTTTGCCCTGCATTTAGCTACCATGCAGAAGGCATATATGCACAGAAGACATTGTGACCAGTGCCAAGTCTTGGAAATATGAGTGTAGACTTTCTAACCAAAGCCAAAACCAATCTATATTTGGGACAAAAATTACGTTCATTATAACAGCAAGTTACATACAGCTACTCTCCTCTATCTATACAACAATCGAATGTCACCTAACCCATTTGACCTTTTGATTAAACTTTGAAAAGGAGCCTCAGAAAACTTCTTGTTGCATAAGGGTGTGGACTGTGACGATTATCAAATTGGCCTGTTTGGGATGAACACTTTCTGATGTTGTATTAAATTCATAACTACCTGACAAATCCAGGAAGAGCAAGAACATGCAATACTGATCGTATACGCTTTCTACAATGTCAACTCAATTTCAAGCCTTTGCCAGCGAATATCTTTTCTTGACAGCTCCTGGTGTGGGTATTCCATTGCACAGAAAATCAAGTGCGAACCCTAGTAAAGTTCCTGAACTGTAGGAGCTGGTAGAAATCCTCTTTAATAAAAATGACAGGGAGTTGGGTTCTCAGAGTGGAACATCAGACTGTTGTCTGAGGTCTAAGCAACCACAGCATGCCACAGAGAGACTTCTAAGGGACGACCTGTTGCTGCAGCTCTGTTCTAATTTCATATGGTTTGACACTTTTGTGAAAATTTTGAAGACATAAGTGAAGAAAGTTTGATAGCTGCTCTATGTGGCAGGTGCTACCATTCCCCACATCACATACTAGCAAGAAACAAGAAGAGAATCACACAACGTATCAGGAGATTACCTCCCATGCAGGTACTCTGCCTTTGAAGCCATATTTCTCTGGCTTCAGGTCCAAAAAATTTAACCATGTTGATAACATACAGTGGTGGGTTGATCCCAGTGAGCAGCTGAGCACTTACCCTGCCTTTGGCTCACTTCCCTTTTCCAGGGAACAGGAAAATAAAAGGAAGACAAAAAGACTAGTGGGTTGAGATAAAGGCAGTTTAATAATCATACAAGCACTGTTCAACGATAGCCAAGACACTGGTGTAGTTATAAGCACTGTCCTAGCCACGAACTCAAAGCACAGCACTATCCAGGCTACAATGAAGAAAGTTGACTTCATAACTTCATCCCAGACAGACCCAGTAACAATATGAAAGGCCAAAAAATTAATTACAACTGCTTTCCAGCACTGCTTTTCTTGTGGGGAGCAGCACACAGGGTGCTTTATTTTCTCTTGAGAGCACAAGAGAACAAAAGAAGGAAGTAATCCTTTATCTTTAAATAAGGCCTTTGGATGAATGTAGATTTTTTTTTTACTCTCTAAAAAACATAATTACCTTCCACACAGGTGTGAACACTAGAAATCTGGGGCACTAACAAATTTACAAGGACCCACCAACTGGTTAATTGCCAGCTGAAATGAATCAAACTTCAAAAATATTGTAAAGTGCTCAACGGCTAAGGTAGAAATAAATAAGACCTTTTAGATGTCTTTTGGTTTTTTGCTTCTCTATTATTCAGTTTCATCAATACCCAAAACATGCATGAAGCAAGGTAAAAGAGAGGTCAGTGCATTATTTTAGCAAGAATCAGGTGGTTGCCAGAATCAGAAAGGTTTCCTACTTCATCCCACCTATCAATCCAGATGATAAACTCCAAAAATTATGGGGAAAACCCTCAAGTGTTAACCTCTTCTGACAGGCTTATTCTAATTTAGGTCATTTTGTGCTTTTCTGTGCTGTGCCAAGCCCCAGTGTAAAAAAGCAAAGCCCCTCACCTTGAAAACAAGGTCTCTAAAGACATTTTTTGCAGACATTCAGAGCGCTGCAGTAAAGTGTTACAGTCTGAAGAGGGTTGGTTTAGGTTGCAGTAGGGTTAGGGGAGGTTCTTGCCAGCAGTAGGATAGATTGGGATCTCCACCCCTTGCTGCAGTTATAAAGGCAGTAACATCTAAGGAAGGAGATAGGGAGGAGTTGAAGGGTTGACTCCTTTCCTCTGGAGTACTAGGTGAGGAATGTTGCAGAGCTGTTAAACTAGTAAGCAATTAATTGCTTCTTGGAAAGAGACCTTATCTCTTTCTTCTCTCTCCCAGTGAGAAAAATGTGGCTGAAGTTTCTTTTGACTATTCTTCTCCTGCATGTAACAGCTGCAAAGGAACCCGAGCTGTAAGAACTACCATATTATTACTATTAGTACTCACGATAAGGCTTTAAAGATAGTGCTAATTAGTGCCACTAATTTCACTTTAAATACTACTTTAAATACTACCATGACTCATCTTTTATATCTGGAGAGCTAAGTTAAACTGGAATGTGGATGGCAAGTGGATGGTTCTCATGTAATATGAAACTGCTATTCTGCCTATTGCAGAACTTGTGTGTGTTTAGAAAAGACAGTAGGAGTAGTAACAGCAGTGTGCTTTGCTAAAAGCTGGCAGGTCCAGGACTCAGACAAAGGGCAAAAAGGGAAGATTTGGGGGCATTGATAGAGTTGTGTGGGGAGCGTAGGGCTGGGCGAGCTGGGAGCTGCAGAGCAGGAGTCAGGAGCACTGGCAGTGTGTTCTGTATTTAATCTAATCAACAGGTACTAAGTAATAACAATGCTTTGTGTTTATTTTCACTTTGATGTTTGACTCTCACAGGCAATATGTCCTGATGGTGCCTGCTGTCCTCCAAACTGACTCTCCAGGTCAGATTTGCCTGCAGTTCCTTAACCTCAATGAGACAGTATCTGCCAGAGTCATCCTAGAATATGGTGCTGTTAACACCACTATTTTTGAGAAAACCATGACACCAAGCAGCGGTCTACAGTGCTTCAACTTCACGGTAAATTAATTTTAATGTATGGCCCAAGGGAAAAGAAATATGAGGAGGGACAAGTAAATTAAAGCAGAGGGTGTAGGAGAGGAACGTGCAATGGAAGAAATAAGACTTGTTGGAAGAAAAACGAAGCAGAGGAGAGGTACATAGTAACAGACAAGGAGGCATTTTAAATAGATATAAACAAGAAAGGTTCAAGAAAGGTGATGGAAGGTGGTGAAGGTTGTAGAAGTGAGACAAGTGTCTTTTTGTAGGAGTCCAGGCCATGGGTCTAGCTGTTCAATAGGTTCTGGAGCAAATGACTTCAAGTCTAGCAACCTCCCGTTGTTTTTTTTTTGTTTCCTCACAGATTCCTCCTGTCAGTTCCACCCCATTGGCTTTCATTTCTTTCTCTGCGAAGGGGGGCAACACAGTCAGCCTACAAGAGCAGCGGTCGGTGATGATCTGGAAAACAGAGAGCATTGTCTTTGTGGAGACAGACAAGCCCATCTACAAACCAGGACAGAGTGGTGACTATGCATTTAGTTTGTAATGTGTCCCTTAGAAAGCAGTTTCTTCAGATAGAATTTCTCTGCCAGGTGTTTTTCAGCCTGAATTACAGTCTAGGCATTTTATTCGGAGTTTCTGTTAAAATGGCTCGAAGTATTTGCTGTGGAGCTCAGAGAGTCATCTTCAGGATGGCAGGAGACTGTCATCCCATGGTTTCTATTATTTTCTTTGTCCCTTCCTTCCAGCTGACAGAAGAGAGTAGCTTTTGCTGCTGCTATTTCATTACTGGTGGCAGGTCAATATAGTGGAAAAAGGTGATTAGATCACTACTTAAGAACTTGGCATAAAACAATGCTCCCAGTCTTTTATCTGCGATACTGCTCATCCAGCAAGACTAAGAGTGAAATCCATTATTTTAAAACTAATTACAAGTTTTTTAAGGCAAAATTGTGCTATTTACCTTCTGGGTTCTGATGGTTTTTGACTTTATATTTTCATGTTGTTGTTTTTCCTCTACTTAAGCTATTGCCTTATCCATACTTCTCATCTGGCCATCAAGCAGAGCTTTAAATATGCAAAGAACCATTTAGGTAGAACCATTCCTTAATTCACTTCTAGGATTTAAGGCTTATAGATCATAACTAGAACAGTGTATGAAACACTAAGAGAATACTTACTTCCAGAGATGAGCCAAGTAATATAGCTGTTCGACGGGATCAGCTATACTTTAACTAGGGATGATAAATACATAGCATGAGGGAAAGCTTACCAATCAGATTGTGGTGCCACTAAGGTGTCCACCAAAAAATGGCTTGATTATTTGAAATGAGGGAAGCAGTAAGTTAAATTAGATGAGGAAAAGGTAATGTTTTATAAGGACATTTTTGAAACATATTTTTATGGTTTTCCTTGTGTGGTAATTCATCGTTCTCCTTTCAGTTTTTCTCTTGGAAAAAAACCACCACCAACAACAAAACCCCAACTAAAACCAAACTAACAAACAAACAAGAGCAAAATCCTGTGGGATAAGAACAGACTGAACTAAGAAGGGTTGCACTGCGTTAGGAAAAAAGGACAATTCAATTCACCTAGTTACAGCAATATTTGGAGCTTTCATATGTTTAAAGCAAGAAATCCTGCTTTAGAGACAGGGAAATTGAGAGGAATAGATTTGCCTACATCATGCAGGTGGCCAATGAAAGAGGTATGGCTGTCTGACCTGCACAGCAGTTCTTATTCATTCAGTCATCCCCTTTTCCTGGGGTAAAGCAAGCTTTCATGAAACTGTGTGAGGACTCAATGCTGGGGAAAAGTCCCCTCAGTGAAGTCTGTGTAGGATTCTTATATCTTAAGGTACATGTTATTACCTGCATCCTGTGCAAGTGGGACTGTTAGAAGATCCAGTGAAACTGGGAGTACTAATGGATGCAAACTATCATGCTCAGCCAAATAAACTACAGCTAATGCTAACACCCAGTTCCTTATCTTTCCAGTGATGTTTCGTGTTATTGCCCTGGATTTCAATTTTAAACCTGTCCAGGAGATGGTGAGTGACCAGTAATATTCTCCTGTATTTAAAACTGGGAGGTAATTTCTCCATTTTAAATATTGCTGTGAATAAAATAATGTACTGTGGAGACTAAATTCCAAAGAATTACCATGATTTCCTAAACGCACACTATAATTCACCCTTACGTTAGAATGTATCTTCACAGGGAAGAGTGCAAGTGTGTGGCAGGTTGGATCCCTGATACAACACCTCCTGCTATTGCCAGAGGCTTAAAAAAATACCCTGCTTTATTAATGCAGACCTTATTTTAGCTCTCAACAGAAAGCCCACGGTTCAATCTCTTCTTAATATTGTTCCAGCAGTTGTTGCTTGCAAAAATTGGTAAGTCATCCACCCAGTATTTTGCTCGTTTTAGAAATGAGAAGATGAAAATTCAGGTTGCTACCACAATTATTTATCCAATCAAAGGCACAACTTTCAATGCCAGCAAGCAGTCTTCATGTTCATAATACATAAACCAAGAGATTAAAAGGTGTTTACAAGCCTCCTCTCATGTCATTGTAATGCAGAAGAGAGCACAGCATTACTAAAAGAGCTGTGCGAATAAGCAGAGTGAGGATTTAAGATCAAAGAAGCCCAAATCACGGTTTACATGCACATCTATAACTTTACTCACTCAGCTGCTCTGGGAATGCACTAAATCCACTAGGATCAGGAACTGCCCCAACACTCTCATTTCATCTCTTCCCCTTATATAATCTTTTTATTGAAGTAAAACTGCTTTTAAAGTGATTGAAATAAGAGGTGAGGATCTCTGATTACTGGTATTTTACTGGTTATTGTTTATACATTTCTTACAGTCCTGGGGAAAAATAATTCATGATTGTTCAGCCTGTTAATCTCTTCTCCCACTTTGTTTTTTCCTCTTTCAGTACCCCTTGATTGCAATTCAGGTAAGATTTTTTTTCTCTTTGTATTATATTACACATTTGAAAATAAAAAAGGGCACATGCTTATACTGGTTGATACATGTCTACACACAATGAAATCTTGCTCCTGAGTTCACTGGGAGAAACTTCATAAAATCCCAGGATGCTGTTTGAGCCCTACTAACATGGAAAACATACCCATATGCATATCAGAAGTCAAAAAATGTTACTGTTCTTATGCCTGCCTTTGACTCCCCTCCACCTCCTCCACTTGGCTCAACTTATTTTGAAGTATATTTTTTCATAACTCAAGTGCTGCTGAATGCTATGAGCAAATAAAGGCTGTGGATACAAGTACTAGCTATGTTAGCACTTCCATGGCATTTTGTGGTGATTTTTAAAATGGCAATTTCAGTCTGTGTCTAGACAGCATTCTTGCAAGTTTTCATGTTATACCATGAAGTCAGATGACTTTATTTTGCTTGTAGTGAAGCATGCCTATTTTGAGTGCTATGTGCGTTTTTCTGCAGAGTTCAAGGAAACGGTGTGAATGAGTTTTCTTTAGTCTAACTAGCATAACAAACACTGAGAGACAAATGACACAGTGAATGCAGAAGAAATGTTTCCTTCCTTCTTCTGGCAGCTGAAAAAAAGTTGGGTTACTAAAGGCCAAGATTTGTGTGGGATAAGCTCCGCCAAAGGCAAACCACAAAGATTTTCTTTCTCTCCACTCTTGACGAAAAAGTAGACCAACATATACTAAAGAGCAGGGAAGAACAGAACTGTGTAACTCTCCCTGATAATTGAGACTAATAACTAGGCTGCCTGAATCTTAGATGAACAGATGAGAATCTAGCAACATTGATAATCAAAGGCATAGTTTATCTCAATGCATATGCATTAAGCAACTTCCTCAATGAGTTAAAGCACCTTGACCTGTTTTCTTCTTTATTTATACACTGTGTGTCAATAACAAAAGATTTTCAAGACAAATAAAATGTGAGTCCATATTCTTTTTTCTTCAGGATCCACAGGGTAACAGGATCTTTCAGTGGCAAAATGTGACATCAGAGATGAACATTATCCAAATTGAATTCCCACTAACTGAAGAGCCTATCCTGGGGATCTACAAAATCATTGTAGCAAAGAAGTCAGGAGATAAAACAGATCACTCATTCCTTGTGGAGGAATATGGTAAATGCCACCTGTTGTTTTTATTCAGAGTATAAAACGTTATTATGTGGAAATACTATGAGCCCCTATCAATGAACCCTTTTAACTGCTAAAAATTCTAGTAGCTTCCTGGCAAATGCAACTTCAATTAGTTGTCATTAAGAACTGGAAAGAGAGGAAAAAATAAACCAAAAACAAAAACAAACAAACAAAAAACCAAAACAAAACAGTAATAAGCCAAAGGAGATAAATTAAACATTTTTCACAAATTGAGCCAGGAAAATAATCTGCATAACAAATCAATAAGTTGATTCCAAATTTCACTGTGACAAACTAACCCTCTCCTATCCATACCCACAAATTTTCTTGGCCGAAGCTCTGCAAGGCATCTAGACATAACAGAATTCACCTCACAAGTCCTGACTTCTCTTCAAAGATTTGTAGAAATAGTGAGCCTTTGCAGGTCAGGCCATTTCTCAACCATTTTTGGTACCTGAGTTCTGAGATACCATTCCATCTGTAGCTAACACTGATGATACATCTTCAATTTCTCTTTCATGTCAGGAGAGCCTGCAAGTTTACAATGTGCCGGTGTTTTTTTTTTTCTTTGCATTCTTTTGTCCTAGTGTTGCCAAAATTTGATGTCACAGTCACTGCACCAGAAAGCCTGACAATCCTGGATTCAGAGTTCACAGTGAAAGTCTGCGGAGTGTAAGTACTAGGTGTAGAGTGGTTAGGAAACATGCTGAAGAACAAGAACTTCCCAAAGACTGAGAAAAGACACAGGGCTTAGAGAAGAGACCAAAACAAATAGGATTGGTCAGGGTTGACTTGGTGGTTGAAGTTTTCATTTACTTGTGTGCTCTTCTCACTGTATTGCATGTGTATTCTCTTCCAACTGGTGTTCATTGGGTTGAATAAATCTTTCGAGAGGTCCCCTGCTAAAGTAGGATGTGTCCACTCCCAGTAACCTACTTCAGAGGGAGACCTTACAGCAGAGCACCATTAAATTCTAGCAGGGGGTCTTAGAGTTACAGCTGTCTTTAATTCCCCCTCCAAGGAAAACTTGCTTACCCTAACACCAAGATCCTGTAATTTAGAATCGAGGGTTGAAATCCTGATCCCCTTGTTGATATGAGGAATTTTGCTTTGATTCAGTGAGTCTAGGACTCCAGTCTAAGCTAAAGAGTAGAAACAAAAGAAAATATAATTTTGTCAATAGCCATATTTGTCTGTCAAGCTGATGGAAGTGTTTATTTGTAGGTTTAAGGTGTGGGTTTGGTTCATGGGTTTAGGGGGGGAATAGAACCCGTTAATTTTACAGCTTCTGAGTTGTATTACCTTTTTGTAACAACAGGCAAGTTTAAAAAAAAAAAAAAAAGCCTGTGAAACTATTCTGTCTTCTGGCTTACCAGCTCACTGCTTGTCCCAGATCTATTCTTGTGTATGTTAAGTCAGTTTTTCAAGCATCATCTCATGGACCTATTTTGTCTTCCCCTAGGTACACCTATGGCCAGCCTGTTGAAGGGAAAGTCCAGCTCAGCGTGTGCAGGGATTTTGATTCATATGGGAGATGCAAGAAAAACCCAGTTTGTCAATCATTTACAAAAAATGTATGTTACAAAATTATTATTCCTCCTTACACTTGTCATCTGTCCCATGTTACAGCTTCTACCACTTTGCTCCTCACACTTTTCTTTCTCTATTCGATGCTTCACTTCACTCTACTCGTCTGCTTGCTTGTATCACTAGTGTGGAACTTGAGGCACCTCATTTCTTTTGGTTTCATACAGGCCTGAAGGACTGATATGTTCCTTCTTCATAACTCATTTTCCCACTGATGTCTCCATCAGCCCTGTATAGACCTCCCTTGCTAAAGAAGGGTACTGTGTATTGCAGGCATCCTTTGAAAGCTGTGATCCTTGGTAACAGAATTTGTTTTCTTCCCTTTCAAGCTGGAGATAGGAGGCTGCCTCTCCCAGGTTTTCAGCTCCAGCATCTTTGAGCTAAATCGCGTTGGTTACAAGAGGTTTCTTGATGTGAAAGCCATTGTCACAGAGAAAGGAACAGGTAATCCTTTTTAGACAGTCAGAAACAGCAACACTGGTGTGGTCCAGAAGGAGAGTAGGAGATATTTAGCCTCTGCCTGCTGAGTACAAGTATGTTTCCCTGAAGAAGATTGAATTTATAGGCACAGTGACCATCTCCAGGCAAATATTAACTCCCATGAAGCTATGAGCAAGATAAACCATATCTTCCCTTGATTCTGTACATGTTTTACAGGCCTGCAACTTACATCTACTCAGTCTATTTTCATAACTCGGGTGATGGGCAGTATACAGTTTGAGAACATAGATCACCATTACAGAAGAGGAATTCCTCTCTTTGGACAGGTAAGCAAGGGCATAGAGAGCTTGTATAGAAGGTGACTGGCAGGCAATCACCTGGCAACAGTGATGGAAACATTTTGGGGACTGTTTGGGGTGGGGGCTGTCGTCCCCAGCCATCTCTGCTGGCACAGAGTGCCCTACTGGTAATTCTGAATACTGAAGAGTATTACTTTATTCTGAGTTTGACTCTGCCAGAGATACTTTGAATCAAAACACTTTTAAAAACCCTAGAAATTAGCATTTTTCTAATTTGCATTTTAAGCTTAATATATATATAATTGCTTCTCCTTTCAGAATTGCTCATTGTATTCCAGCAAGAGATGAATAAAAACACTGGGGGATGAGTGAAGAAAGAGTGAAAGGAATTTAAGAAAAAAAAATCAAGCAAATAGTTTCTGTCTTAAAAACCTTTTTCATGATTTTATGTTTCATGACAAATCCCACATAATTCTGTCTGTGGTTTAAGGGGTAGGGATAAATCTCTCTCCTTCAGTTGATGCTTTTTTCAGTGAGGAAAGGATAAGGGGACATTTTACCAGTAGCAGTGCAATGAGAGAAGAGATTGCCTTTCAAGGTTATTTTTCCCCTCTGGAAGACATCTATATAACTTTCTTACTTGCTCCCCATTCCCACTTAATTTGTCAGATTGATGTGCACCTTACCACCCCTTACTGGAGGTTGAGGATCGACAGGCTCCCCAGGGTGATGTGCCACAGTGAATTCCTCAATCACACACATTGTCTTACACACTAGAGGTTAAACATGCTGAAAAACACGTGGTAGAAGGCTGAGATGTCACATCTCAGAGACAAAGCTGCTGAGGATGGCTTCAGGCAGCTTTGCTTTTGTAAAGAAAAGAAGAAAACAACAAATGCGTGGAGGTCACATCAGGGGAATTGTTGTCTGGAAGACAGTGATACTCATACTTTCTGAAAAATTCAGCAGATCCCTGTCCTGGTGCCATCACATTCCATTCATGGTCCTTCCCTGCACTATGAAACATCTGTTGCTGGCCATGCGTTGCGTGTCTTCTCTTTTGCCGCATTTAATCTCACGGAAACCAATATCCACCTGAACACTTTTAACTAACTATGGTTATTTTTGTCATTTGTCTCCATGCTGTTTCTGAAGAGTATAATCAGTCCCTTAAGCTTATATTTAATATATTACTACTTCTGCCATCTTTTTCTTAAAAACAAAGAATCAAACAAACCACCAAAAAAAATCCACCTCAAAACAAATGCTCACTTCTAGTAACGTAAAATTTCCCTAATGGTATCTGTTATTTTTTATTTGTTTGTTTAACACAAGAACAGCAGAGACAGAATCAAAAAAGTGTTCAAAATAAAGTTCTGAAGAAAAGGGCTTCAGACACGAAAAGTATCAGCAGCAGACTCTCAAAACTAAGGAAGGAAAAAAAGAAGGAAAAAAGTATATCTTTAAACTGGAGATGTGTAGTCAGAAAGGACTGAACAGGAAAGAGATGAGACATAAGAAGCTCTTGCTCTACAAAACGATGTTATCAATGATGTAGCAGATGCTGAGGAAGTTCCTGCTCCAAACCTCATAAGATAGCCAAGATAGCTGCCAGAAAGTGAAGAGAGACATTTCAATTCTTAAGTATTGCTTTGAAGGAAGAAGAAAAATCAGTTCTGCTGTCCAGAGGGCAAAGGAATGCAAAACATTAGTATCTACATACAGAAAGATAACACACTGAATATCTTGCATTCTCTTCTACAGATGAAGCTGATAGACAAAAACAACTCTCCTATTTCCAATGAAGTTATTCAGCTATTTGTCAACAACAAGAACACAGACAACTTCACCACCGATGAAAATGGTGTTGCAGAGTTTAGCATTGACACATCTGAAATGTTCGATCCTGAGATCAATCTGAAAGTGAGTACAAAACAAAGCTGAATAGACACAGAGAGATATATGGCTGCTCTCAAACTGAACACAGGAAAAAATGGGATGAGGTTTGAGGTCTTTTTATAAAAATATGCTTTATCTGGCTTTTTTCATGTTCTATAGGTCTGAAAATTTACTGTGAAAGAAGTGAGGAAAACACCTGAGTTGTAGCAATGCAATGGCTTGCTGTAAAGCCATAGTCCTGTTTTTTCCTTACCAGTTTGGCTTTAGATGCAATTCCTGAATACAAGCATTGTGTGAACTAATCATTCAGATGTCAGTATGCGATAATAATTTCCTTAGTGACATATGTTTGTCTTCCTTTTTTTACTCACTCCCTCTCCTCATCAGGCAACTTATAAAACCAGTCACCAGTGCCACTCTGAAGGCTGGGTAGAGCCTTCCTACCACGACGCGTATCTCTCCATCCAGCGCTTCTACTCCTGGACTAGCAGTTTTGTGAGGATTGAGCCTTTGTGGAAAGATCTGAGATGTGGGCAGGAGAGGAGGATCACTGTGCACTACATCTTGAACACAGAAGGATACAAGAACATCAACACCATGAACTTCTATTATGTGGTAAGTGTGGGGTTGTTGCATGGTTTGCTGAAAGGCCCTGACCAGGCAGATATCAGGCAGAGCTTCCACAGCAATTACAGCAGTGAGTGTTCTTCCAGCTTTTGGATTACCAGCCAGCACAGTTGCCAACAACCAAGGGATGGAAACAGCATTGAGGTTGTTTGGCAAAACCTAATTGCTCAGGAAAAATAACCGCTATTTCTGGACATGTTACTCTTTTTCATAGTAAGGAACAACCTTCATAATGTCTCAGACCAGAGTTCTTGTCCCTTCCCTCCAAGAAACTCTTTATGGTATTCTCTGCCTCCCTTTTCCCTTCCTCTTCCTTCTGCTTTCTGACCAGTGACAAGGGTCCCAGCAGTAAGTAGCAGCAGCAGTGACAGCATTCAGCATGCTCTAAGACTGATTTTTAAGCATTTGAAGCCATCTCAGTGTACATGCCTTGATTGTCTTGTTAATGTTCACTGAACTTGATCGCTGCTTTCTCCCTCTAGTCTCTACCAACCAGTAAATGTATTGCTCCTCTCTGCACAGGGCATGGCAAAAGGCAAGATTGTCCTTACAGGGGAAATTAAAGTTAATATCCAAACTGGTAAGTTAAATTGTCAATCATGTTTCTGCATTAAAAACAAAACAAAACAGAAAAAAGAAAAAGAAAGAAATGGTGAAACTGAGGCCCAGGGAAAGACTTCCTGGATGTAAACAGCTGCAATTGGGAGGACTGTATCTCTCTCCATCCATGCTTGTGTACCTGATACTACCACTAGCACTAAGATCACTATAAATTAGATTTAGCCCAGCAGCTAGTTCAGTTGATACAAGTCAAGAAGTAGTGTTCTGTAAAGAGCTTCCCAAAGGATAACATCGGGAAGGCAAAATGTCTGGCTTAGGGGGCTATTTGAATCTAGCCACAGGTTCAAACTCACATGAAATCCGAGAGTATCTAGATCTAAACCCAGGCATGTTGCCTCCTGGCAAATCCATGATTTTTCAGTTTCTTGTCCATGTACAGATTGCTCCACTGACTGGCACAGCTATATGCCAGGTGAGGATGGTTACTACCACAGCAGATCACTGCGCTTCTCTCCTTATTGGTCCCATTCTCTTTTCTAACAGACCAAAATGGCACTTTCACCATCCCACTTTTGGTCAATGAGAAAATGGCTCCAGCCCTTCGGTTGCTGGTATATACCTTACACCCTGCCAAGGAGCTGGTGGCAGACAGTGTCCGATTTCCAGTAGAGAAATGTTTCAAAAACAAGGTGAGAAGCACTGAGATATGTTACTCTCTGCATTCTCCTTTTTTTTCTCTTTGGCCTTATATCTCTCCTCTACCACCACCTCCTGGCCTTATCATCAAAAGGTAATTTTTTTTTTAACATTAAAAACTGCTTTTCAGGAAACTCAGATGATTCCTGTCTCCCTTGAGCTATGCTAGTGTCTGATTTAGTTCAGAGTGTCTGTTCTTCAGCAGAGCAAACACACTTTAGCTTTATCCTGCTTCACTATTTAATCTAATTTTTCACATTTTTTTGAAAAATAAAATTTGGATTTACCAGAGCTAAATACGTGTAGAAAAGAAAGCAAAAATATAGCAATCTAGAGTTTAAGTTTTCCTTCCGTGTTTTTTCCACTGGTACATTTTCTAATCTTCAGTTTCTAAAAGCTAAAAGGCATGAAACATTAGAAGACTAAACAAGTGAGATTAAACAAAATGTTTCCAGTTACCTGGTGTGGTCCTCCTCTTCTGTTTTTTCCCTCCTATCTAACACAGATGTGAAATAGATTTTGCTCTGAATAGGCTCAAAACATTTTTAAATGGTTTAAACATTTGCTAAGATGGGCCATGGACCAAATAAAAATACGATCTTCTCACCATAATGCTTATTACATGTAGTCTGTGTCATAGTAAGATCTGATTTGATAGTAGCAATAGAATCACACTGTCTATTAAATCACTTGAGGTAGGTTTCATTTAAGCTATCACGGGAGTCTTAAGTGCGTTTATTGCCTAAGTCTGGTTATAGCAGAGGTTTGGTCAACAAAGGCTGGAGAGAACAGACATCCTTCTCCAGGCAGACTACCTGTGCTTTAACAGAAGAGCCTTCTACCCTCCTTATTGCCCTCCATTCACACACACATGCAGAGCAGACCCAAACAGCAGGGACTAACCATACCAACATCTGTTTGATAAATTTCAGGTTCAGCTGAAATTCTCTGAAAAGCAGGTGCGCTCAGCTTCCAACGTCAGTTTAGTCATTGAAGCTGCTGCCAACTCCTTCTGTGCTGTGAAGGCAGTGGATCAGAGCATGCTGCTCCTGAAGTCTGAGATGGAGCTGTCTGCAGAAACAGTAAGCTGCCCAAACAAATGTATTGTCTCCTTCCATTGCCTCCTCCTCCCCCGTTTCAGCATCACTCCACTTGAGATTGTTAGGTTGTGTTAGACTTCTACTGCTTTTTGCATGTGCTGGCCATATAATATCTGTTGTAGGTAATACATAGCTTTTGTGTCTTGGCAGTTGGAAGTCCTCTTTCAGGTGGTCCTTGGTATTACCACTGACGGGTTTCTGGCAGCACGACCCTCTGGCAGATAAGCCACCCCTCCCAGTTTTGTATCATCAGCAAACTTGTGGAGGGTATGCTCTGCCACATCACTCAGATCGATAATGACGAAGTTGAACAGAATTGGGCCCACCATTGAGCCCTATGCCACACCTCTAGATACTCGCCTCCAACTAGACTTTGTGCCACCAATCACCACTTTCTGGGTCCTGCCATTCAGTCAGTTTTCAATCCAGGAAACAGTGCCTTGTTTCAAACAGACCAGTAACTTAGCTCTGGCAATTTGCAGCACATGATGGTGTTATTAGAATTGGTCTTTCAACACACAACAGGCTTTGCATTTCCTTCCCCCTCACAGATATACAACCTGCATCCCCTGCAAGACTTTCAAGGCTACATCTTTAATGGACTTAATCTAGAAGATGACCCCCAAGAACCCTGTGTCTCTTCTGACAACATCTTTCACAAAGGCTTGTATTACACACCTGTAATGTCTGGATTAGGCCCAGATGTATACCAGTTCCTCAGGGTAAATGTCCTGTACATAAATCTGTTGAAGTGAGTTTCCACTTATGTAGCTTTAAACTTTTCTGTAAATAACGCTGTTAGTAAAACTCATACACAACAAACTCTCTTCATGGACATCTACTCGCAATTGACTCTGGTACCTTCTCTGATTTCCCAACCTACACAAAGCTCCCACAAATCTCTGCATAGATGTCTCTGGGTCTGTCTGTGGTGAAAGGCAGTAATGGGAAATAGGGAGAAATGGAAAAAGCTTCAACTGCAGTATGGTTGCAGCTAACAAATGTGTTTTTTACAGGATATGGGCATTAAATTTTTTACCAACTCAAAGGTTAGGCAACCAGTTGTGTGTAGCAGTGAGACTGTAAGACCTTCACCATATTTGTTGAATGCAGGATACATGGCTTCCTCGCACCATGTCAAATCATCAGGTAATAGAGGGGGCAGGAAAGAGATTTTGGTTTTTTTCTTAAATGAAGTGGTATTCATATGACATAGGAATGTACAGTACTCATGAATCACATTGATATTAATATTGAATATTGGTCTGGAACAGGATGTGATGGCTTAGGATAATAGCCAATACTCAAAAAAAAGCCTTCTAGGTCTACACTTAAGATTAATGTCCAGTTTCATCTTGTGAAGTGTTGACAATGAGTAGACTGTCACACAAGGCTGACATGGTTGACAACAATCCCCTTCCAACCAGAGCTTGTTTGAAAAGACGGTGCATCAGTGTGGATAGCAAATGAATCTAAAAGCTAAGTGACCTGAGTTCTAGCCCTAGGTCTCGAGCTTATATCTGGAGACAAAAGCACTTCAGGTAAACTTTTCTCTGTGATACCAGGTTATATCTACATCAAAGATACATCAGTGACATTAAATTAATATTTGTGTGGCATTACCAATAGTCTCAGTTAGAAAGAAACGAGTAAACACTAATCATCCTTTGTATTGACCCATACATATTAAAATCTATCCTTTCTGGTAGCCTGTTATATGAAGCAAGCTTGACTAAATTCCCATTGCCTCTTAGCTGATGAAGTGGCTAGAGAGGAGAGACTCATCCTTGAGACTGTTCGTGAATTCTTCCCTGAAACTTGGATTTGGGATATAGTCTTAATTAAGTGAGTACTGCTTCTTCCTTCTTTTTGCCTTGTTTTTAAGAGATGTTAAATATGTCTCCTTATGTCCTGTAAGGTAGCAATTCTTTGCCATCTCTTCTTACCTTTTGGCCTGGAAGACCTAGATTTTTCAATAATCACCTGACCGACTGCCCTCCTCTTTTCCATGATAAAATTACCATGTCCTCAAAGACATCTGTTCCCACTATGTGTGTACCTTGAGTCATACTCCCTTCCTAAGACGAAATATGGGCCTGATGAACAACAATTCTGAGTTTTCTTTCCAGACTCAGGAAAATGATGGGCAGATGAACTTTCACAGAATCACAGAATGTTAGGGGTTGGAAGGGACCTCTAGATATCATCTAGTCCAACACCCCTACTAAAGCAGGATCACCTAGAGTAGGTCACACAGGAATGCATCCAGACGAGTTTTGAATGCCTCCAAAGAACAGACTCCACAACCTCTCTGAGCAGCCTGTGC